ATAAAATCCAGGCCTCCTATATCCCAGACTAGTGTGCATAGGTAGACAAATAACATGATTATTTCTTCTGGGATATTAAACTTTGGGAAATGGCAGTTTAATTAAGAAGCTATGACGGATACCTCTGTATTCCAAATTCCCATTTCTTCAGGAGTTGGTATTTACATTTAGTAAGGTAAAATTAAAAAAAAAAAAAAAAAAAATTACAAATCCTCCAGTATTTCATCTGCTCATGCTGATGCTAAGTCACTTCATGACCTTCAACTGACAGTCCATTCAAGCAATGGCAGGACACCACTGGACATTAGCAAAATCTATTCTTGTATCAGAGAGTGCAAATTAATACTGGAAACATTTCTTTCCAGGAGCAGGATGTGCGAAAGTATCACAGTCCGCATTTGCTTAGAAAATAATGTTCTTTTGACTAAAAGAAATAATAAAAATGAACCACATGCCAAAGACTATGTTCCTATTCCAGAAACAGCCATATATTACAACCTCTACTGAGTACACAGTTTTAGTGGTCTGCATACCAGCTAATCCTTTCTGTGTTGCACAGAGTTTATGACTGATGTTTTCAATAAGGTAATACAGTCACTTGTTTGAACCAACATTAAATCGTCCCACTAGAAGTATCACAAGCGTACTGGAAGAGTTTAATTCCCATGATTCCCCAAGAGGAAACCTACTTCATTAAGGTTGACCCTTCTGGGGTAATCACTTTGACACAGTCAGTTTCCATATGTCAGGCAACTTTTAAAGTAGAATGGTGCTATGATGTATGTAACAGTGCCGCAGCCACGAAGCGGTTACTAAAATGAGGGAGCAGCTGCCGGAGATGAAGACATCCGGGAAATGGAGAACGGAATAACCTCAGACAGCCAATAAGGAGCCAGGGAGGTGAAATAGAGGGGAGGAAACTTCCCAAGGTTGCCTTCAGGCACACACGCGTGAAGAGGAATCAGAACTCATAGACGAAGTTGGGAATTTTGGAGGGAATCGAGACGTCCTTCTGTAAGGAGTGACCTAGAAACCACTATGTAAAGACCAAGCAAAAGTGAATGTTATGTGATGAATGCTCATCTGCAATGATAAGGAGGAGACAGTCTTAGATAAAGGAGGCTTGAAAACAAAAGCAGAATCAGAGTACTGGGTCAAAGCGCTCATTAAAATACTAAAAATCATGCCCCTAGGTGGGAAAAAGTATGCTAATGAAACATACATGTATGTAAATGAGATACATGGCTAAAACACAGGTATAGAGACATGCTCAGTAAAGAACTCCTTGCGTCACTCCTTTATAACCAATTAGCAAACAAGGATGCTTATGAAGGTTCAAAACTCCTGTATAAGAGATGCTTAGAATTAGTGATCTGGGTGCTTGTTATGTGAAATTATTCCGCTCGCACCTTTTATTGCTAGCAATAAACCTTCTTTATACTTTCACCCCTGGTATCTTTATTGGCCTTTGCATACCGGGCACGATCCCAGACTTAAGCTGGGGCTCAACACTTCCCCAGATCGCATCCACCTTGGAGAAGACAGCCTCGACAGTGAGTTATAAACGAAGTGGCAGCGCGGAAACCCCCGCAGCTCTGAGGGCTCAGTGGATGTGGATTCCCTGAGTGAGACGGGAGAAGAGTAAAGAAAAGAGGCAGAGAAGAAAAGGGCGAAGAAGCCCCAACATTGCCCTGTAGCCCCTGTAACCCCGATCCCGCACCAGAGGGTGAAGGGGAAGCAGAGGCACCAGAAAGTGAAAGGAAAGAGAAAAGAAATTGACGAAGCCACACTTCGCAAGCCGGCACAAGCCACAGCCGGGGAATCCCGATCGGCATTAATCAGCCGCTAATTGCCTTGTTAGCAGCTGATTATTGAGTGACAAGCAAACAAGTAGCCCTGCGTTGTTCCCAGACGCAAGACAGTGAGAACCCCGGAGGCGATCCCCGGGGGATTCACGACTAACTTTAATAAAGCACTTGCAATTAAGACCTGACCCGTGTGTTCACTACCGGGGTACCGGTATCTAACAACTGTTCCTCCCCCCCAAAATTGTATTTAGATCAAGTCGTGGCAGGCAGGAATTGGGGGAGCTACCAGAAAAACGGGTACCCAGGATGGGCACGCTGACAATGTAGAAGAGGGGTGTCAAATGTCTGGCCCATGGGCCAAATCCAGCCTCTATATCCAGCCTGGGGCTACCAGAGCCTCTATATGCAGCCTGCCAGGCTAAGAGCAAGCCACCAGAAGTTGTGGGGTGTGGCCTGTCTGAATCCAGCCTGGGGCACAAGGTGAGTTTACCACTCCTATGTAGAATAATGATAGATTGTAG